ATATATAACTTAATATTTGCATGTCATCTTAATAGCAATAGACTTGGATTTGTTTACTGCAGCAAGTCGACATGACAACTGTTTTAAACCATTCCCGAGCGCTGCGTTTCACGTTCCAAGTGCAGACAAAGAGCTTAGAGATGCATTCTACGTGAATGTCTCCCGAATCCGCGCATGTGGTGAACATTTTGCAGCAAAAATTGGTCGCACACAACAATTTTAAGCACTCGCAGAAATGCTCCCAAATATATTTTAAGGTCGCATAGATAAAATTTCGGGCGCATATGCGACCAAAATGGTCGCAATATCGAGCCCTGCAATACGAATGATGACCAACATATGATATTACAGCTCTTGTAAATGTAACCTGAAATTCTAAAACAGCACAGTGTGTGTATTCATAACTCAACACGTATGTCTGATAATATTTTTTCTTCTAGAGAAAGTCTTATCTGTTTTATTTCGGCTGGAATGAATGCAACTTTAAAAAAATTTACAACCATTTTAAGGTCAAAATTATTAGCACCCTTATATATTTAATTAGCTAAGAAATCTATTATTATACAATGACTTGCCTAATTACCATAACTTGCCCAATTAGCCTAGTTAAGCCTTTCAATGTCACTTTAAGCTGAATACTAATATCTTGAAGAATGTCTAGTCAAATATTATGTGCTGTGATCATGGCAGAGATAAAAGAAATTAGTTAATAAAGCTATTATGTTTAGAAATACAGTATATATGTAGATAAAACTATGGTTGTGCCGACAGATGATGCCATCGTCCATCGCCGTTGCCCGACAAACTTCACGATGCTGAGCCAGCATTGCGATCCATCGCCCTGCCCCACATTTATATTGACATATAACTTAATATTTGCATGTCATCTTAATAGCAATAGACTTGGATTTGTTTACTGCAGCAAGTCGACATGACAACTGTTTTAAACCATTCCCGAGCGCTGCGTTTCACGTTCCAAGTGCAGACAAAGAGCTTAGAGATGCATTCTGCGTGAGTGTCTCCCGAATCCGCGCATGTGGTGAACATTTTGCAGCAAAAATTGGTCGCACACAACAATTTTAAGCAGTCGCAGAAATGCTGCCAAATATATTTTAAGGTCGCATAGATAAAATTTCGGGCGCATATGCGACCAAAATGGTCGCAATTTCAAACCCTGCAATACGAATGATGACCAACATATGATATTACAGCTCTTGTAAATGTAACCTGAAATTCTAAAACAGCACAGTGTGTGTATTCATAACTCAACACGTATGTCTGATAATATTTTTTCTTCTAGAGAAAGTCTTATCTGTTTTATTTCGGCTGGAATAATAGCAACTTTAAACAAATTTACAACCATTTTAAGGTCAAAATTATTAGCACACTTATATATTTAATTAGCTAAGAAATCTATTATTATACAATGACTTGCCTAATTACCATAACTTGCCCAATTAGCCTAGTTAAGCCTTTCAATGTCACTTTAAGCTGAATACTAATATCTTGAAGAATATCTAGTCAAATATTTTATATATATATCAAATATCTATATCAAATATATATATATGTGCTGTAATCATGGCAGAGATAAAAGAAATTAGTTAATAAAGCTATTATGTTTAGAAATACAGTATATATGTAGAAAAAACTACAGTTGTGCCGACAGATGATGCCATCGTCCATCGGCGTTGGCCGACAAACTTAACGATGCTGAGCCAGCATTGCAATCCATCGCCCTGCCCCACATTTATATTGACATATAACTTAATATTTGCATGTCATCTTAATAGCAATAACAGTCTTTTCATGAGCTGTGTTAAATTTTACATATAGCTGCCGCTTGCACAGCTAACAGCATCATGAGGATTAAATGAAGGATTATACAGCACCTCTCACGCTTAAAATGTGTAGATTCAGCGGCAAACACTGTTACCTGCAAACCCCGTCCCACAGACTATACAGTAAATGGCTTTAGTCATTTTCATAGCGGACTTGAAGCCACTGGAAGTCTTTTATCCACTCTTGTAAAAATGTAAATGGTGGATTAAAATTCAGCAAATAATAAGATGTGCCTTTATTAGTAACTTTAGGTAAATCTGTCAGTGTTATTTTCATTCTAATCTACAGCGCTTCACATTTTTGCGGTTGTAGCTCCTGACATCTGAAGGCAGGAGGCATTAACTAAGTGATTGACGGCTGATATTAACCAATCATTCGCGTTCAGTTAGAGCAGTGGGCCAATAAGAAGAGCACAAAGGCGGGGCAATCATTGCAGGCTTTTTTTACTTCAGCAAGTTCACATGACAACTGTTCATAGATATATATATTAGATGTCGCCTACCCTGTTATTGTCTATTGGAAGGAATGCATCAATAGAGCCGCCATGTTGGAACAGGGTAGCGCTCCTTTGAAATGAATGCAGGACCAAAGTACAGTAGAGGCCATCCAAAGCCAGAGATATACACATATACACATATATCTATGGTCGGGAATTTTCCTGGATATTAGTATGCAAATTTTTTTTCTAATTACGAAAATTATAATTTTACATCACTTTTCTACATTGATGGATCAGTGACCGCACGGCCATTCCTGACAAAAAGCTTGTGTTTGTGTGTACATAAATGTACTATCCACCCTCCCTGTTAAATTTGATCTAATCATGTCCTGAAACACAGCTCCTCTCCTGCTTTCACTTCTCATACTGACGGAGGGAGTGATTCGTTTGTGAATGAATCTCCGTTATGAACGACTCTTTCACTAGCCGACAATAATACAAGTTTCTGGCACCGCAGCGTCTCGTTGTCATATTTCTTTTGCATTGTTTGCTTATTTTATTCAACAAAACTAGCATAAGCCGGGTATTTAGTGCGAGTTGGAGCTACTTTGCCTTATGGTAAATTTTATCATCACATTACCTGATTAGCACAAAAGTTCATAACATACAAAAACGTAAAAAACTGACTCTTACCTATGAAATGTTCTGCCTTTGTGCTTTGTTTTCTTTGTTTGCTCGTTACTACACCCATAGACAGCGCTAAAGTCCCGCATTTTCATGTAGTAACACTGTCTTGACTAGTGCGGTTGAATAACATTTGTCCTGGGAGCACTGTACAAATATGGCGGCGCTATTGACGCATGCTCAGGGTCCCTATGCGATATCTAGTGTATATATCTATGACAACTGTTGATCTGCTCCTGAGCGCTGCGTTTGCCCTTTAAGGTGCAAAGATGCATTCTGCGTAAATGTCTCCTAAATCCGTGCACGTGGTAAGGATTTTGCAGTGAAAACAATGATAATGTATGCACTACAGTGAACTCCAAACAAACTCTCGTCTCCTCCACCAGCTGTGGGAAAAGAAATTAGAACGACACAGATCACTGTGTCCTATTCATGCCAGAGTCCTGCAAAAAAAAAGTGGTAATTTATTTGTAACTTTATTTATTTATGGTTTGGTTATGGGTAAAGCAAGACCATTTGGGTCAGGTAGTGAAAACGATAGGCTACAATTAATTAATTCCTTATGAATTAATTGATAATTGATACGACGATGGAATAGTCCATCGTGATGTTTCACATTAGACATCGTACGACGCCAAATTGGTCAACATTGCTCAACCCTAGAACAAATCTCTCTGTTGGACAGAAAAATATGAAAGAATGATCATTTAACAGAAGGGCGAATAATTCTCCCTTCATCTGTACCTTGTTTGGTCTGGTCCTGTGTGTGTTTCCTGTAGGTTTTCCACCAAACATCTTTCAGGTCGGCCTCTTCTGCTGCCCGTATATATCGAGTGTAGCTGCGATATTTCTCCAGAGAGTCCAGCTGAGTGCTTTTGATGTCCTCATTGGGCATCGGACCCAGAGGAGCCGCCCGCCGACTTAGGACAGCTGCAGGAAAGTCAACACAGCATTTAGTTTTAACATAAAAGAAATAAGACTTAATAATAATAATAATAATAATAATTTAAATAAAAATACATATTTGTTGTAGAAAAAAAATTGTTATAATAAAAAATATATTTAAACAAATTATAATAAAAATATATTAAAACAAATATATTAATATTTTGTGTAAATACATAACAATAACAATTATTTTGAATAAGGTAATAAAACATTCATCTTTTACTTTATTAATAACATTACATTTTTAGAAATGTTAAATGCAAAATAATGCAATGCTATAATAATGTTGCTATACAAATATAAGAAACAGCAAAAAAAAAATTTTGTGTAATTGTGTAAAGTCCCATTAATGTTGCATAATAAAAACCAATATACAGACAAATATAGCAATATTATTGTAAAAGTATCAATATAAAAGCTTAATATATAATATTAAATATACTGTAATAATATTTCATTATAAATATCAAATAAACAACTATAATAATACAAAGTCGTAACAATATTAAAACGATGTAATACAAATAAAATTATCAGCATTATAATATTATTATCAGAAATGTATCAATATAAAACTCAAATATATAATATAATAAGATATTACAAATATTGTAATAATATTTTGCTATAAATATTAAACTGCCATAAATGTTATAACGTTGTAATAAAAATGCCACAATAATCATATAACATTAATTTTTAGACCAAATGTGAGATATGCAGCGGCTCAAAAAGCTTATAGACACACGAAAATTAATGAAAATAGATACTAATAAATAAATTATCGGTTAAATGATGAAATCAGAGTGTGTCTAAACAGGTAAAGGTCATTCATAACAGCAGACACGCGCGCGTGCACAATCAGCTGCGGCTTAACTAATTATTTTACTAATTAGCTGCTCAATAAATTAAATCTCCGTTCATTATCGCTCACCGGTGGACCGGAGGCCCCGGGAGTGCCGTTTCAGTCCCGCATCCACCGCCGCCCGCAGCAGGACGCACGACAATCCGCGCGCCGCCATGATGAACCGAACCGGCGACGCTCAGTGACGTCAGAAAACAAGTGTGCGTACGCGTCACCACGTCAATGCGCGCCTGCGTATGGAAAAAGGCGACGAGTTTCACCCATGAGAGAAACCCGAGAAACCCAATAACGCTCAGGAATCGGGATTATTTCACATTTCTGCACAACCGATGAGTAAATGTTCATGTGGGTTTAATTAAAAAGGAGTTTTATATATTAATGATTAATGTCTAGCTTTAAAAATCGGTCTTATGTAGCGTCGATGTGGGGTCAGGTGGAGTTTGTTTATTTACTGATTATCGATGTTATGAATTCACTGAATTAGCTTTTGGCTTTAATTCCTAAGTCGAATGTATTTTATTTGCTCATGTAATTGTCTAAATGTAGATAGCAGTTGAAATTAAACAGACTTAATTCAAGAAATATGACATACATGCTCAAATATATATCTATCTGTCTGTATATATGTAACATGTCTGTGTATTTAATCCATTTGTTTGTCTTTCTATTTATGTTTCTATCAATTTATATATTTGTCTGTCTAGCTAGCTATAATATCTATCTATCTATCTATCTATCTGTAAGTTAATGTCTGTATATTTAATCCATTTGTTTGTTCTTCTATTTAGTATCTGGCTACGATTTCGGTCTGTCTGTCTATCTATCAATAAGTTAATGTCTATATTTAATCTATTTGTTTGTCTTTCTGATTATGTATCTATACTCTATAACTATTTCTATCTATCTGTATATCTAAACACCTGTGTATCCATCAGTCTATTTGTTTATCTGTCTGTTTATTTGTTGATGTATAGTATTTATGTAGCTGTCTGTCTATCAATCTGTATTGTCTGTCCAGGGTTAAACGCTAAGGATATTTTCTACTGGCCCGATTGGACCAGTGGTTCAGATTTTTACTTGCCCTGCCAAAATTTTCACAGACTCCACACCCAAAAAATAATCATACTTATTAGCCACATATTTTTAATAATAGGTTTAAAAATAATGTCTGTCAATCAAAAATGTACATATTTTCATTCATTCATTCATTTTCTTTCCGGCTTCATCCCTTTATTAATCTGGGGTTGCCACAGCAGAATGAACCACCAACTTATCCAGCATATGTTTCACGCAGTGGATGCCCTTCCATCTGCAACCTATCACTGGGAAACATCCATACATACTCATTCACATACTCATACACTACGGACAATTCTGTAGCTTACCCAATTCGCCTATAACGCATGTCTTTGGACTTGTGGGGGAAACTGGAGCACCCGGAGGAAACCCACACCAACATGGGGAGAACATACAAACTCCAAACGGAAATGCCAACTGACCTAGTTGAGGCTCGAACCAGCAACCTTCTTATAGCGCTACCCACTGCGCCACCACGTGGCCCAATTTAAATATTTTAAAAATGTTAAAATATTTATCAGTAAAATATAGCAGTATGGAAAAGTGCAGGTATTTTATTGCAAAACAAAAGGTGGCTGACTTGACGGCAAACTATGCAAAACATCAATTGCAAAAAAATTTATTTACAACATTCAATCAGAAAAAATGAAAAGCAACATGGTGTTTACGACTTCACAGAAAAAGGGAATTTAGAGGCTTAAAAGCACAAATAGTTTCTCGATTCTAAAGGGTGATTTATTCTTCTGTGTCAAGCGCACGAGTATGCTACGGTGCGGCCTGCGTGTGGACGCATATCCCTCGCCGTGGCCGGTGGCGTCACTGACGCACACCTCTCAAAAAATGTAACTACACGTTGCAACAGCGCGTAGCGCAAGCTCTGTGATTGGTCGGCTTGGTAGCGCTGACGAGTGTGGGTGGGACCGAGAGCCACTCGAGCTCTGGAACAATTGTTTACAAGTGTGGAGTCTCGTAAACGAGCTCCGGATGAAAAGTTTTGTTTCGTGTTTACCTCATGGTTAACATTGTTGCACGTCCGCTGGTTCCTGCCTCAAAATAAGTAAGTTTGAGCCACTTGTACATTCAGGAAGCCTTCAGAAAAAACAAAACACCAGTGAAGAAACTCGACACAGAGAAACATAAACACCTTACTCTCAACTAGCGTTTCGGAATTGTTAATGCAGACCAACAGAAACAGCACGCAGAAGTATAAAGCCTGGTTTATACTTCTGCGTCAAGTGACTGGCGTTTCTCTGTGTCGAGTTTCTATGCTGGTGTTTTGCTTTTCCTGAACACTTCCTGAATGTACAAGTGGCTTAAACTCACTCATTTTGAGGGAGGAACCGGCGGACGTGCAACAACTTTAACTGTGAGGTAAACACAAAACAAAACCTGCCACCCGGAGCTCCTTCACGGGACTCCACACTTGTAAACAATCGCTCCATCTGGCTCGCGACGGTCGTGCGGCTCTCGGTCCCGCCCACACTCGTCAGCGTTACCAAGCCGACCAATCGCAGAGCTTGCGCTACGCGTCATTTTTTGAGAGGTGCACGTCAGGTGCGACGCCAACGGCCACAGCGTAGGGCTATGCATCAACGCCTTAGCATACACGTGCGTTTGACGCAGAAGTATAGATCAGCCTTAAATGCACAGCAACACGTGTTGTATGCGCCGTGGGTCACGCCGATCATTTGATGCAGATGTATAAACCAGGCTTAAAACTGTATTTGCACGCAATTGACAAATAGTCGCAGGCAAATAAAAAATTTTGTCACAAGGCAGCACTAGTCTGATCGAGCCAGTAACGATTCTGCCTACTGTCCCGAGCATTTCTTTTTTTTTTTTTTTTTTTAAATGTTTTATTTATACGTTGTGAAACATTACAAAAATATACAAAGACATAAACATGTAACAATAAGCAAATACACTGAAGAATATTTTGAGCAAATAATAATAAAAATAAATAACTAAATATTATAAATAAATAAATAATAATGAAAATAAATAGATAAATAAATAAAAAAAACAACACTAGTGCAATCTTGTATACAGAAAAAACAAGTCTACAATGTGTTGACCAGAAATAGTTTCCTGTAAAAGCTGGGCATTAGGTGGTGGGGGTCCCGAACATTTCTCACGCTGACCCTGGGCCATCAGGCAGTCATTATTGTTGAGCCCTGCTGTCTATCTTTTTGTCAACATGAAATGTTAACAGTTGAAGGCCAGTAAAAAAGACAGTACATTGAACCACACGATCTTTTACGGCAGCATGACCCCAATAGCAGTTCTTTATGGGCGGTTATATTTACTGCTTCTTTATTTATTCATAATTTTATTGATTTTTTTATTCTTCCAGACTTCCGGATCTCCAATGGAGGATCACATGCAGTGCACGATCTGCTTGGACCAGTTTAAATTCCCAGTGACCATCCCATGCGGTCACACCTTCTGCAAGACATGCATTTCCAAATTCTGGGATGGTCGAGAAAAAGACTTCCAATGCCCCGTTTGCAAAGAATGCTACGAGACGAGGCCTCAGCTCAACCGTAATGTGTCCATGTCAGTGTTAACAGAAGTGGCCTGCACAGTTAGTCCAGTGAAGAGTGATGTTTGCAGGGGGGCCGCCTTCCAAACGGAGCCCGAACAGATCTGTGAGCGGCACCAGAAACCTCTGGTCATTTACTGCAGGAACGACGGCATGTGTGTCTGCTACGAGTGCTCGCTAAATGAATGCAAAGGCCACGATAAGATCTTGGTGGAAACAGAACAGAGGAATAGAGAGGTGAGCACGCATAACCATCATGTATAAATACTAGTGCATGTGATTAATCACATGTAAAATAAAAGTTTGTTTTGGCATAATATATGTGTGATGTGTGTATATTATTTTTATTATTATTTTATTTTTAAAGTGTTTTTAATTATCTTCATTTGTAATGCAGGCAGGATTAAAGAAAAAGAGTGCGGAAATCAAGAAACACCAGGAAGCCACTGAGCAAAACCGCCTGGAGCTGATGGAGAACCTGGAGAAAGAGAAGGCAAGTGTGTGTGTACTTGTTTTAGTGATTTACAAGGACGAAAATGTGTATAATAACATGTGTGACCTAGTTTTACGCTATTGAGCTGGTTTATGAAGACATGCCTGATGTCCTCGTAATTCACAATGCTTAAAAATCATGCTTACCATGGTTTTTCACATTCAAAATCTGCCACAGGTTTCTTATCAGGGTTAGGTTTAGGGGTAGGGCCATATAATAAGATATTTTTACTGTATAAAATGCATTAAATGAATAAAATGAGTCCTCATAAACCACAAATACAAATGTGTGCATATGTGTACTGGTTTTGGTGGTTTGCAAGAACAAAAAATGTTCATAGTGACGTGTGTTACCTATTTGTACTCTATTAAGCTGGCTTATGAAGACATGCCTGATGTCCTCTTAATTCACAATGTTTAAAAATCATGCTTACTATGGTTTTTCACATTCAAAATCTGCCACAGGTTTTCTATCAGGGTTAGGTTTAAGGGTTGGGCCATATAATACGATATTTTGTACTATATAAAATGCATTAAGCCTAGGGAGAGTCCTCATAAACCACAAAAAACAGTCGGTTTTTCTGTGTGTACTGGTTTTAGGAGTTTATAAGGACAAAAAAATGTGTATAGACGTGTTTGATCAAGTTGTACTCTATTAAGCTGCTTTTATAAAGACATTCCTGATGTCCTTGTAATACACAATGTTTAAAAACTTAACAAGGTCTTTTCACATTCAAAATTTGCAACCGGTTTACTATGAGGGTTAGGTTTAGGACCATATAAAAAGCTGTGTACTCATTACGCCTGTGGAGAGTCCTCATAAACCACAAAACAAATATGTTTTTCTGTGTGTACTGATTTTAGGAATTTATAAGGACAAAAAAATGTGTATAATGACGTGCATAGCCTAGTTTTATTCTATCAAGGTTTATTTAGGTTTATTAAGACATGCCTGATGTCATTGAATTTACAAAGCTTAAAATCATGCTTCGGGGTCTTTTTTACATTCAAAAATGTGTATCCTATATGGATTGGGCTATATAATAAGCTGTTTTTACTGTATTAAAATGCATTACGCCTATGGAGAGTCCTCATAAACCACAAAAACCAATGTGTTTTTCTGTGTGTATTAGTTTTAGTGGTTTACAAGCACAGAAATGTGTATAAAGACATGTGTGACCTAGTTTTAGTTTATTAAGCTGGTTTATTAAGACATGCCTGATGTCCTTGTAATTCACAATGCTTAAAATAATGCTTAGGGGTCTTTTCACCTTCAAACATGTGCATCTTATAAGGGTTAAGGGAGAGTCCTCATAAACCACAAATAACTCAGTTTGTGTGTGTTAATAATGTTGTTTTCTATCTGCGTTATCAGGTGTCTCTTCAACAAACGTCTCAGTGGGTGAACAGTAAGTTCTCTCAGCTGATAAAGGTGTTGGCAGAGAAACAGGAAGTGACGCAGTTGTTTCTGGAGCAGCAGCAGGAACTGACAGTGTTGCAGGCTGAGGAAAGCCTGTCTGTGCTGGAGGAGAGAACGACACGGCTCTCAGCCCTGCAGGAGGAGATCGACAGCCTGTGTTTACTGCCTCCCTGCCAGCTCATCAAGGTTATCACACACTGTTTTATTTTATTTATTTAATTAAATTTATCCATAACAATTACATGATTAAGTTTACATGAATGTATAAAGTTGTTAATAATTATAATCAATAATTGTTAGGTTTTGTTTTATTATTTATGTATGATATATTTACAATGATGGCAGTTCATTCCGCTGTGGTGAACCCTGATAAATCAGCGACTAAGCCAAAAAGAAAAGTAATGAATGAATATTTACAGTGACATGAATTTTTAAGGGAATTATATTATTATAAATTAATTTCTACTTGTTTTGAGGGTACATTTATTTTATTTCAGAGAAATGAAAGATGGTTGTCAAAATGGCTCTTTATAAATAACGTTTTTATAATAAATGTTATTACGTTAAACAAATTCTGTTGAGGCTGAGGTTGTGTGGGTAGAGAATTTATACAGATAATATGAAGAGCAATTTTTATCTATATTTTATTTTTTAATAATTAATAAAAATATATATTTTTGCAATTATACTGTTTTTAAATTGTGAATTATGATTTTTACAATGAAAAATTAAATGTCTATATTAGTATATAATATATATATATATATATTAGTTAATAATTTTAAAAAGGCATTTTATGTATATATATATATATATGTATATTATTATCATTATTATACATTGTTTTTTATTGTTTTATTAATTATATTAATATATTTATGAGGAAAATATTATGAATATTAATATTGAAGATAATATTATATAAGGATATAAGGAGAATCAATATTATGTTTTAACAGTATGGTCAGTATTGTTATTAACATCTGATATTAAGTATAAAATATTATTATTACAATAAATGTTTTTTATTGTTTTATTATTTATATTAATATGTTTATCAGAAAATGTTAGGAATATTCATATTATTATTAGAATATTACCAGAATATTGATAATATTAATGTAATATAAAAAAGGATATTAATAGTATTATTTATTCATTCATTTTCTTTTCGGTTTAGTCCCTTTATTAATTAGGGGTCGCCACAGCGTGATGAACCGCCCACTTATCCAGCACATATTTTAAATAGTGAATGCCCTTCCAGCTGCAACCCAACACTGGGAAACATCCATACACTCTTGCATTCACATTCGTACGCTACAACCATTTTAGCTTAACCAATTCACCTGTACCACATGTGTTTGGCCTGTGGGGGAAACCGGAGCACCTAGAGCAGGGGTGGCCAACCCTGTTCCTGGAGAGCCACCTCACCTTCCTGCAGATTTCAGTTGCAACCCATATCAAACACACCTGCCTGTAATTATCACCTGGTGTTCAGGTGTGTTTGATATGGCTAGCAGCTGAAATCTGCAGGAAGGTGGCTCTCCAGGAACAGGGTTGGCCAGCCCTGACCTAGAGGAAACCCACACCAACACAGGGAGAACATGCAAACTCCACACAGAAATGCCAACCGACCCAGCCGGGGCTCGAACCAGCAAACTTCTTGCTGTGAGGCGACAAGGCTAACCACTTTGCCACTGTGCCGCCTATTAATAGATTATTGTGAAGAATATTAATGAGGAGAATATGAATCCTAAATGTTGTGTTTGATCAGGGTGTTCAGTGTTGTTACTAATGTCTGCGTGCTTCTGCAGGACTCAAGGTTCATGGAGGTTCCTCGGTTCGCTGAAGTTCCTGTGGATGTTCATGCGGGCGTGCAGGAGAAGCTGGCGCCGGTCACTGATGTCCTGTCCCGAGTGTCCAAACTGGTGTGTGAGGATCTGGAGAGAGCCGTACAGCTGTCTACGGGACACCAGAAAGACAGTGAGAAACCAGCTACATTCTGTCTGTTCACTCACAGTATGAGGAATATCACACTTCATTTCTGTGTGATGTTTCAGTCAGAGATCGTGTTTATTAGTCTGCCAGTATACTTACAGTAAACCGTAATAAATCATAAACCTTAATAAATAGATTACATGCATTGCTAAATAGAATGAAGCAAAAATGCAAATGAATTAAACAGTGGTTTATAGTTTTCTGGCTTCAGATGTAAAGTTATATAAAAATGTAAAAGATTATGTGTAATTTGTGTAAGATATGTGTAATTTAAATTTTTTATTTTTTGTAAAAATGTCAAGCCAGAAAACTGTAAGCCACTGTTTATTTCATTTGCATATATAAAAATAAGCAAACAAATAGTAATTGCTTAATTTTTAATTTTATGATTTTAAAAATATTTACACAAAATTTTTAATATGTTCATATTTTTGGATGATATACTTTTGCATTTTGTGTGTGTGTGTTTATACATAAATATACACAGTTTACACATACTAATACAAGAGGCATACTAGTAAAAGAGAAAAATGTTTGCCCTCCTGTGAAATAATTATTTTTTATATATTGTTCCCAAATGATGTTTAACAAAGCAAGGACATTTTCCACAGTATTTCCTGTTATTTTCTTTAGAAAGTCTTATTTCTTTTACTTTGGCTGGAATAAAATTCAATTAATTTCAAGTTTATTCATTTAGTGCTTTTTACAGTTGTTATAACTGTTTCAAAGCAGCTTTAAGTGCACATTATTACAAAATGTGCACATTATTGCATTACAATCAGAATAAGTTACAATCAAAATTATTATATACTGACATAGTTAACCTGCAATCTCATTGCATAGAGGTGATGTCTATGTGTACATGTTTAATGAAGTGTATTTGTGTATGAAGTATATATGTTGTCTTGGAAGTCCTCTATGTTTGGCATCATCTAAATAAATATAAAAAAAAAATAATTAATATATATATACAGTACGTATACAATACTACGCAGAATATGTAAGTTCACCCCTCACAAATATCTCTTTTAAATTCATATTTTAATAGGAAGCTATACAGTATTATATTTGTGCATAACATTAGACTAGTCAGTAGTGAAGCCAAATCTGGAGCTTATCTAACAAAATAACTTAAGATAACAGCCCAGAAATTTGTACACCCAAATTTATATGTTATAGAAAAATATTAAATACAAATTTAAAATGAGAAAAAAATCAAGAGAAGCAGAAAAATGAAAACATTAGTTGAAATTTTGTAGTTTGTAGTTCTTTTTACAAAGTTTTACTTGAATTTAATTGTATTATCTTTCAATTTCTAAATATGTTTGGTGATTAAAATGTTTTTTTAATAAATATATCTGTTTAATAAATGCTTAAATGCAACAAATTACATTGACTATATTCACTGAAAATGGAAAAAATTTTCAGTTTTAAAATATATTGGGTATAATTGGGTATACTCAATTATGCTGAACAATATATACAGTTGAAGTCAGAATTATTAGCCCCCCTGAATTATTATCACCCCTGTTTATTTTTTTCCCCAATTTCTGTTTAATGGAGGGAAGATTGTTTCAGCACATTTCTAAGCATAATAGTTTTAAAAACCTATTTCTAATAACTGGTTTCTTTTATCTTTGCCATGATGACAGTAAATAATATTTGACTAGATATTTTTCAAGAAACTTCTATACAGCTTAAAGTGACATTTAAAGGCTTAACTAGGTTAATAAGGTTAACTAGGCAGGTTAGGGTAATTAGGCAAGTTATTGTATAATGATGGTTTGTTTTGGAGACTGTCAAAAAAAATAGCTTGAAGCTAATAATTTTGTCCCAAAAATGGTTTTTAAAAAATTAAAAACTGCTTTTATTCTAGCCCAAATAAAACAGATTAGACTTTTTCCAGAATATAAAATATTATCAGACATACTGGGAAAATGTCCTTGTTCTGTTAAACATCATTTGGGAAATATTTAAAATAGAAAAAAAAAAATCAAAAGGGGGCGAATAATTCTGACTTCAACTGTGTATGTATATATATATACACACACACACACACACACACACAAACAACAGTTCTGTCTGGTTCTTTAATCAGATTGGCTGATAGCCGTGCACTATTCTGCCACATTTATTTATTTTTTTTTTTTTTTTTAATGCTAAGGTCAATATTATTAGTCCCCTAAAGATATTTTTTTGACTGGCTACACGACCACTTCAATGTGGTGATGTCATTCGCCGATGAACATTTCCTGCTTGTTGTTAAACTATTTCATAACTGTAACAAGAGGCAATTCAATCATAACTTCATGGTACAACAGATATCATAACATTATTTATCAAGATGTGGCTCTTTTTGCATTCTCAGAAGCTCTAGAATTTAAAAATGTACTTGTTATTGTTTACATCCCTCAAAATGGTCTATAAGCTGAATGCTGTTATCTTCCAAATAACTAGTAAAATATGATGTACTGTCATCATGGCAAAGAAAAAGGTAATTAATTATTAAAACTATTATGTTTAAAAATGTTGAAAAAAAACATCTGTTAAACATCACTTGGGAAATATTTGAAAAAGAATTAAAGTTTCACCTGAGGGCTATTTCATCAACTATATATGTGTTCAGCATGCTTGTTTTTTTGCTTATAGACTCTCCTCAAGACAAGCGTCCAGTCCTGGCTGTGGTTCCCAGTCCTGCAACGCCCTCATATCCCGCAGAGAGAGAAGGACTGAACGCATGTATGCTCATATCAGCACATTATAGCACTGAGCTCTGAAATATTTTTATTCTTCACAGTCTCAGATGGTGCATTTATTTATTTTTCACCCAGACCACTGCGCCCTGACCTTTGACCCCCGCACAGCCAACGCTCACCTGCGCCTCTCCCAGAGCAACAGGAGGGCGGAGCATCTGGTCTCAGGACCCCGCCCTGTCCCAGCCGACGAGTCCCGCTTCGACCACACCTGGCAGGTAGGATTTGATCATGAATTATTCAGATGTCTTCATGATTGAAGTTTTCAGAAATATTATAGTATGGGGCAATTGTAACCGTGTTGCTCTTCAGATCCAGCGTATGACTAACAGTTGAATTTACCTTTAAAATTATTTTTCTAAAATCCTTAACAGTAATATATACAACAGCAATAATATTAAACGAGCAGTTTATTTTTAAATTTTTTGTTAATTAATTAGGTTTAAAAATGTCCATGTTTAAAAATTAAAAAAATTTGAAACCCACATTTAAAAATTAGAAACTGATTTTATTCCAGCCAAGTCCAAAAAAAAACCCCTGAAAAGGCCTTGCTCTGTTAAGCGTCACTTGGGAATTATAAAAATAAATAAATAAATAAATTCATAGTTTGGGACTTGTGGAGCTGCGCATCGATGGATTTGCTCTTCAGTGTTTGGACTTTCAGCAGTGAAAATTAAACCACACTGAACTGAACTGAACTGAACTGAACTGAACTGAACTGAACTGAACTGAACTTCAACTCTGAAAACTGGACTGACACAGTGTTTCAATTTACTAGAACTGACTACCTACTAGAATAGATAATATACTGAATTGATTTTATATATATATATATATATATATATATATATATATATATATATATATATATATATATATACATATATAAACACACACACACACATATATATATATATATATATATATATATATATATATATATATATATATGCATATATAAATTATCTTAATTCTGTAATTTTTTAAATAATAATATTTACCTAAAAAATAGAAAATAGGTAATACTGTGAAGAAATGTCCTTGTACTGTTATACAGCACTTTAGGAGAGATCTTTAAAAAATACTAATAAATAAATCACAGAGGGCTGAATAATTTTTACTTAAAATACTTTTATTAATTTGTATTCTGTTTAATGATGGAAAGACATAATTTAAATTATAATATATCAGAAAAACAATTCTTAAAGGGGTAAATAATATTTTGCTTAAAATTGTTTTTATTATATTAAATAAATAGTAAAAACTGCTTTTATTCCAGCCAAACTAAAGGAAATTACTTTCTCCAGAAGTAAAAAAAAATAAATAAATAATAATAATAATAATAATAGGAAATACTGTGCAAAGATTTCTTTACCCTGGTAAGCACTACTTGGGGAAATGTTTGAAAAAGAATAAACATTTCACAAGAGGCCTAATAAATTTGCCTTTAACTCTCTGTATATAAACAGAATAAAAAAATAAAATGAATGTGTATTGGTATTATATTTATTAAAATAAAAAGAAAGAATCTATATTAAAATATATAGAATTTATATTTAAAATTATATGTTTTAGTCTGTAATTTCTTAAATAATATATACCTTAAGAAAAAATATTAAAAAAAAGGTTTAAATTCCCGCCAAACAGAAATTTTGGAAATATTTGAAAAACAATAAGAATTTCACAGGAGGGCAAATAATTTTGACTTTAACTCTCTCTATATAAACAGAATATGCTAATGTAAACAGAAATAATAGGACAACAAAATAAAAAAATAAAAAATGAATATTGAGTTTATGCTATCTTAGTGTCTTTTTTGTTGTTGTTGAAATTAAATCAAATGAAGAAAATTGTGTGTGAAAACCCTGATGAGCTGGCAGGGAGGCAATAAACGCAGAATACACTTTACAATATATAGTAGATATATATGAAGAAAATATTTCTTAAAGGGGCAAATAATGTTTACCTTATAAAAAAATTAACTAATTAATTAATTAATCAAAGTAATATATTAGTAAATAAATGTATACATACATACATACATCATACAGTTGAAGTCAGAATTATTAGCCCCCCTTTAAATTTTTTTTCTTTTTTAAATATTTGCCAAATGATGTTTAACAGAGCAAAGAAATGTTCACAGTATGTCTGATAATATTTTTTCTTCTGGAGAAAGTCTTATTTGCTTTATTTCGGCTAGAATAAAAGCAGTTTTTAAAGCCATTTTAAGGTCAATATTATTAGCCCCTTTAAGCAAGATTTTTTTCAATAGTCTACAGAAAAAAACATCATTATACAATAACTTGCCTAATTACTCTAACCTGCCTAATTAACCTAGTTAAGCCTTTAAATGTCTCTTTAAGCTGTATAGAAGTGTCTTGAAAATTTACTGTCATCATGGCAAAGATAAAACAAATCAGTTATTAGAAATAAGTTAATAAAACTATTATGTTTAGAAATGTGTCGAAAAAATATTCTCTCCGTTAAACAGAAATTGGGGGAAAAAATAAACAGGGGTGATAATAATTCAGGGGGGCTAATAATTATGACTTTAGCTGTATATGATATTAATAGGATATTTCATCCCATCCTGGCAGGTGTTGTGTTTCCAAGGCTTCACCAGCGGTCAGCATTACTGGGAGCTGGAGGTCTCCAAACCGTGGGCGTACATAGGCGTGACGTATCCCAACATCCCGCGCAAGCAGAAGGGCAAGCGCTGTATGGTGGGCATGAACGATCTGTCCTGGAGCCTGCAGCTGGATGAGCGGCAGATGAGCGCCTGGCACGCTGGATGCAAAGAAACGGTGGCGGGACAGCTGGATAACACACATCCACTGCGCATCGGCCTGCTGCTGGATTATGAGGCAGGAACGCTGACGTATTACGGCGAGGGACAGGTCCGACTGCACGCTTTCCACTGCGTCTTTAATCAGGCGCTGTTTCCGGCCTGCTGGATTGGGGAGGGGGTCACTGTAACGCTCTGTGAACCGCGACCATGATGCTGTTAATCACTACGTTTACAGAGACACTGGAGCGTTTTAAAGCCGTGATTCATCAGCGGATCCCTCGTATGTCAGCTTATAAACAAACCAGCTGATCAGCGTGACTTTGAAATGCTTCAGAGTCGCTGTATCTTTGTTACACTGAGTAAACAGCAGTGTGTTGAACTGATGACCCTTACGGTCAATCACAGTCATTTCTGTTGAGCATGTGAACACAATAGCCAATCAGAGCTGTTTAAGAACACGCTCAACAGCGCTCAAATGTTAACAGGAAATGAACGTTATTAAAATTTAAGTATTGATTAGTACTGAATTCCAGTATCATCAGTAGCCGTCTTAAATGAATTTAAATGTGTATCTTTTCCAAATCTGTCGACATCTGTGTTTCCACACCTTATAGAGTGTTTCTGGCATAAATTGTCGCCAGTCTTGTTGCCAAATCAGGATTCTCTGACATTTAAGCGCTGTTGAGCGCATCATTAAACAGCGCTGATTTGCCACTGTGTTTACGTGCTCAACAGAAATGACTGTGATTGGCCGTGAAGGTCAACAGTTCACCAAACTCACCGCTGTTTACTGAATGTAACCACAGATGCAGGGACACTGGAGCGTTTTAAAGCCGCGATTCATCTGCGAATCGCTCGTAAGTCAGCTTATAGACTATCGGCTGATCAACATGACTTTAGCCACAGATACAGGGACACTGAAGTGTTTTACACTCAATAAACAGCGGTGAGTTTGGTGAACTGATGACCTTCATGGCCAACCACAGTCATTTCTGTTGTGCATGTGAACACAATGACCAATCAGCGCTGTTTAAGAACATGTTCACCAACATGGCTCAAATGTTAGCAAGAAATGGACGTTATTAAAATTTCAGTATTGATTAGTACTGAATTACAGCATCATGACACACTAGATGATGCTGTCTTAAATGAGTTTAAATGGGATCATTTCCAAGTGTGGGAAAACTTTCTACATCTGTGTTTGCACACCTCATAGAGTGTGCCTCTAGCATAAATTGTCGCCATTCTTGTGGCCAAATCAGGGTTTACTAACAATTCGCTAACATTTGAGTGCTGTTGAGTGCGTTCTTAAACAGCGCTGATTTGCCACTGTGTTCAAATGCTCAACAGAAATGACTGTGATTGGCCGTGAAGGTCATCAGTTCATCGAACTCACCGCTGTTTACTGAGTGCAACCACAGATACAGCAACACTGGAGGGTTTAAAAGCTGCGATTCATGAGCGGATCACTCGTATGTTAGTTTATAAACAAACCAGCTGATCAGCGTGACTTTGAAATGCTTCAGAGTCGCTGTATCTGTGTTACACGCTGTAAACAGCAGTGAGTTCAGTGAACTGATGACCTTCATGGCCAATTACAGTCATTTCTGTTGAGCATGTGAACACACTAGGTAATCAGAGCTGTTTAAGAACGCGCTCAACAGCGCTCAAATGTTAACAGGAAATGGACGTTATTAAAATTTAAGTATTAATTAGTACTGAATTCCAGTATCATCAGTAGCCGTCTTAAATGAATTTAAATGTGATCTTTTCCAAATCTGTCCACATCTGTGTTTGCACACCTTATAGAGTGTATTTCTGGCATAAATTGTCGCCAGTCTTGTTGCCAAATCAGGATTCTCTGACATTTAAGCGCTGTTGAGCGCATCATTAAACAGCGCTGATTTGCCACTGTGTTCACATGCTCAACAGAAATGACTGTGATTGGCCGTGAAGGTCAACAGTTCACCAAACTCACCGCCGTTTACTGAATGTAACCACAGATACAGGGACACTGGAGCGTTTTAAAGCCGTGATTCATCTGCGAATCGCTCGTAAGTCAGCTTATAGACTAACAGCTGATCAACATGACTTTAGCCACAGATACAGGGACACTGAAGTGTTTTACACTCAATAAACATCGGTGAGTTTGGTGAACTGATGACCTTCTTGGCCAAATACAGACATTTCTGTTGAGCATGTGAACACAATGACCAATCAGCGCTGTTTAAGAACGCACTGAACAGCGCTTAAATGTTAGCGGCAAATGGATGTTATTAAAATTTCAGTATCGATTAGTACTGAATTCAAGTATCATGACTCTAAATGATGCCGTGTTAAATGAGTTTAAATGGGATCATTTCCATGTGTGGGAAATCTGTCAACATCGGTGTTTGCACACCTCATAAAGTATGTTTCTGGCATAAATCGTTGCCATTCTTGTTGCCAAATCAGGATTCACTTACATTTAAGCGCTGTTGAGCGCATTATTAAACAGCGCCGATTTGTCATTGTGTTCACATGCTCAACAGAAATGACTGTGATTAGCCGTGAAGTTCATTAGTTTACCGAACTCACCGCCGTTTACTGAGTGTAACCACAGATACAGCAACACTGGAGAGTTTTAAAGCCGCAATTGATCAGTGGATCTTGTATGTCAGCTTATAGACAAACCAGCTGATCAGCGTAAATGAAATGCTCCAGTGTCCCTGTATCTGCGTTAACTTTAGTAAACAGCGGTGAACTGTGATCTAGTGAACTGATGTCCTTCACGGCCAATAACAGTCATTTCTGTTGAGCACGTGAACACAATGACCAATCAGCGCTGTTTAAGAACGCGCTCTAATGTTAGCGGGAAATGGACGTTATTAAAATTTCAGTATTGATTAGTACTGAATTACAGCATCATGACAACACTAGATGATGCCGTCTTAAATGAGTTTAAATGTGATCTTTTCCATGTGTGGGAAAACTTTCTACATCTGTGTTTACACACCTCATAGAGTGTGTTTCTGGCATAAATTGTCGCCATTCTTGTTTCCAAATCAGGGTTTGCTAACATTTGAACGCTATTGAGCGCGTTCTTGACTGGCGCTGATTTGCCATTGTGTTCATGTGCTCAACAAAAATGACTGTGATTGGCCGTGAAGGTCATCAGTTCACCAAACTCACTGCTGTTTACTGGGTGCGAACACAGATACAGCAACACTGGAGATCAGCAGATCGCTCGTATGTCAGCTTATAGACGAACCGGCTGATTGACGTGACTTAAACCACAGATGCAGGGACACTGAAGTGTTTACACTCAGTAAACTGCGGTGAGTTCAGTGAACTGATGACCATCAGAGCCAATCACAGTCATTTCTGTTGAGCACGTGAACACAATGACCAATCAGCGCTGTTTAAGAACATGCTCAAGTGTTAGCGTGAAATGGACGTTATTAAAATTTCAGTTTCGATTAGTACTGAATTACAGCATCATGACACACTAGATGATGCCGTCTTAAATGAGTTTAAATGTGATGTTTTCCAAGTGTGGGAAATCTGTCCACATCGATGTTTGCACTCTTCATAGAGTGTGCTTCTAGCATAAATCGTCGCTTTTCTTGTGGCCAAATCATGGTTGGTACATGGTTACAACTTTTAAGATGAGCTTGTGTTTTGAGGGCCGGCTGTGCACTTTGGTTTTATGTTGTGTTCAAGAGAGATCATGATTGTTTTCTGCTGTATCCCCTCTAGGGTATGAGTCATATTAGTAGTTTTTAAAGCTTCAGTCGTGGAGGACAAACACTGTGTTCATTTCCATGTGATTTGTAGGATTCTCGTAATGGTGATTTTTGTATTTCTACGTGTTTCTACAGTTTGGAGTTTAGTAGTACTTTGTTTATTTGTTGCAGAGTTTAGCTACATTAATGATTATAACACTTTAGATATCGACATCCTTGAAAATGAAGGTGAAATTACTTTAATTTCAATCTCACTGGCTGTGTTCAGAATAGTTTACTCTATTAGTGTGCTGTTAAGTATGCGTGTGATGTTTTAATGAAGTATGAGATGACATTATTAAGGAATATGTCTCTCACTGGCGATCCAGTGGCGCAGTAGGTAGTGCTGTCGCCTCACAGCAAGAAGGTTGAATGAAGGAAAATGAATGAATGAATGCATGTCTCTCACTTTACTAAAAATGTACAAAAACACATCTTTAAAGTTTAATAGCATTGATAGGCATTGAATCCTATTAGAATGTAGCTAGGATAAGCGTGTAATTCAAGTTATGAACGCAAAAACAAATTCCGCCATTGCAAATGTGATTTATTTTACAAAATAGTTCAACAAATATTGACAAACCGTTCAAGTAAAGTTCAATTTTAGACCCTATATTGTATTTTTTCAGTTTTAACAAAGTATTGTAAAACAAAAGATAGTTCTGGTTGTGTCCGAAATCCATCCCCAAAGGGCGGAGATATCGAGCACTGATGTTGGATTACTTAATTTATTTTGGATTGTGAAAGCAAAATTCTCCTACGAGAGTGATTATAGCGCCTCCGGTGCAATTATACTCATGGCAGGTATTATTTGGTAGTTTGGACATTTTTTTAGCTAATTTGACAACCGTCAAATGTCTTCTAGGAAACGGTTTGAATTTCCACTTAGTACAAAAATCATTAGTGTTTTATACCACACTACATACATATACTATGCTGTTGAGTGCATAAGTGTATAGTGTGCTTTTTGGGACGCAGCTATAGAATTCAAAAAACAGTATGCGAGAAGTACTCGGATGACCTACTACTTTCGGCAAAATTCTGAAGTGCGCATCTGAGGGATGCTACGCTATCTCATGATGCACCACAATAGAATTTATGAATGAGAGTGAAGCGACGCAACTGACGCAAGTTGGTCACGTGATCATGACAAAATGGATGATGTTGTACATCCGAGTTCCATTCATACTACTGATATTCATACTGTATAGAACGTACTTTTCTAACTGTCGTGTAGTACACTTCAATTCAAATGTAGTACCTGCCTACTTAGTTGGCAATTTCAGACGCAGCCTCTGTTTTTAACAATTTACGTCAAAGAATCATTTGTAGAGAGTCACTTGATTCCTTTCTAAATGAATCATTGAATAAATCATTTGAATGAATTATTCAAGGAATCACTGATTAAGACAGGGAGGTGTCGCCACCTACTGGTGGTTTTATTGTTATATTTTGGTATAAAACTACTCAGGGTATCTGCAGGGTCTTAAAAAGTCTTGAAATGTCCTAAATTTTAAAAACCTAATTTTAGGCCTTAAAAGGTCTTAAATCCTCTGAAACATTGTGTTGTAGGTCTTAATCATTTCATGTCCAATTTTTCTATAAATATTTCAATAATCATTTTAAGAAATGTTTATTGATTAACTTTATTTACTTATTAATATGATTTAATTATCTTTTTTACAATATTATTTGTTTTTAGTGTTTTTTTTAAGGTTTTAAATGGGCCATAAAAAATCTTTAGCATTTTGCCTTGTGCAAGTCTGAAATTTCATTCATTATGGTCTTAAAATGGTCTTAAAAAGTTTTAAATTTGACTTGATGAAACCTGTGGAAACCCTGCAAGTAAAAAACACTCAATTAATGTTACTTTTTATTCATTATTAATATTTTTATAGATCGCCACCAGGATTTTAAAATTAGAATTGTTAGCATATATTAACATTAAAAATAATCATATTTAATTTATTTATCATTTGTTTGTGATTTATTTATTTATTTTTGTTTATTTTTTAGGAAATATTTTGCCATGTTTTGCTGACATGGCATTAAATAAAAATATATGAAATATGATTAAATAGAGATCAATATTTCCTACTATTGCCCGGAAACTGCCCAGTATGTATTATAAACTCTTTTGTTTGTAGTACATTAAAGTCCAACATTTCAGATGCCACTTTGTTTATCTATCTATCCATCTATCTATCTATCCATCTATCTATCTATCTATCTATCTATCTATCTATCTATCTATCTATCTATCTATCTATCTATCTATCCATCTATCCATCTATCTATCTATCTATCCATCTATCTATCTATCTATCTATCCATTGATCCCTTTATTTACTTATCTATCTATCTATCTATCTATCTATCTATCTATCTATCTATCTATCTATCTATCTATCTATCTATCTATCTATCTATCTATCTATCAATATATCTATCTATCAATCTATCAATCTATCAATCTATCTATCTATCTATCTATCTATCTATCTATCTATCTATCTATCTATCTATCTATCTATCTATCTATCTATCTATCTATCTATCTATCTGTCTATCTGTCTATCTAGTGATGTCCAGATACAGGTATCATCTTGTGAATGAGGTTTGCATTTCCATTTACTCCATTGAAATTTAACCAAACAGGAGAAATTAAAACAATCAGCGTTGATTTGGTTGATTTATTTTCATTCATCACTTTGTAAATGGAAAATCTAGCACATATGAGTTGTGTTATTTGTTATATACGGTCTATTTTTTTGCAGTATACATCCTGCAAAAACAGCATCCGCCTGCTATTCTGAACACAGCCGTCCAATAAGGAGCCAGTAAATGTTTAAACACTGGTTGCGTTACATTTATGATATAGGATTAATTCCTGTTGTCGTGTACTTGAGATCGGAGGTGAAGTCATGCACTAATTATGCTTAATATTGGGAGACTGTTATGAGTATTAGAAAATGATTCATTATAATTTGCACAAGCCGTCTGGGCCATCTTTGGGAATAATGAAGTGTATCGTCCAGTCCTGGTGTTTCGTTTTTCCTCCTGAGAGACTTTTACAGATGAATGTGAACTCATGTGGATATTTATGATGAATAATGATGAGCGAGACGTCCATACAAGATTCTACTTGTACAGGTTTACTTTAATAAAATACACTTTAAGACAATACAGTCCAGACCATGCATAACTGATTAGTTGAATTCTTAAATAAATATTGGAAATGAATGTCAACAAACGCCGTCCAGGAGACTGAAGGTGCGTGTTGGGTTAAAGTGCATCTTTAGTCAAACTTTTTAGCTGCATGCTACAGAGACGCCAAGACAAGAGAAGGAGCTTCATCATGTAGTGTTTGTGATTTCAGACACAGAATTGCTGATTACTCTGTTTTCATAGGCAATGAAAGTGATTCCAATGACAAACCAACAGCTCGTCCAATCAGATTCAAGAATCAGAACTCCAGAAGTGATAACTCCAGTCATTTTCACCACAGGGAAATGGATTCTATGACAGCAGCAGACCTGTGATGAGCTCTGAGGTTGTATTTGCTTTTCTTAAACCCATATGTGAATCCAACATCCTAATCAGGTTCACTAGCAAAATTAGATAACACATTTTTGTATATCATTGTATGTCTGTAGATTAATTGTGTATGCTTGACGGATGTACTGTACTTGATTTTGACTAATGTTATAATGCACATTTATTTGTACAGCTGCTTTCGGGAACGATACTTATCGTGAAAATCACTTTACAAAAACTTTAATTGGTGCAAAAAAACTACATTTCCCATAATGCAGTGCATTAAATCCACCAATCAGAGAGTCGCAGCAAGCAAAGTGCACCATAGTATATTTTTAGCTCCGCCCACTAAGATAAAGTACAGCATGTGACATCATTTGGTCTCTATGTATGCCAATTGTTTTATGTTTTTGGTCAGATTCCCATGGTTTCTTTGGTTCAGATCGATGTTTGTATTGTTTTGATGCTGCTTGGTTGGTTTTGTTGATGCAATACAGCACTTGAATGTAAGTTTTCATAACATCTCGAGAATACTTTGCAATGTTGATAAAGTGGGCAAAACTAATGCATTAAAACTAAGACAAAAAGCTAGTTAAGAAATGCATTAGATAGAATGTACAGCTAAAGTGCTTTAGCATTAATCTGCAGCGAATAAATGACCAGAAATCATTCATTTTCATGAGATTTTAGGAGATTAGTTGAGTTTTGATTAGCAGGCAAGCAGAAAATCCAATATTCCAGCCATCGAGTGTTAACTTTCACTGGAAAAGAGCTGTAATGAGAATAGCCCAGTGTTTTTGGGCTCATCCTCAGTGCTTAATTTGTAAATTGCGAGGTCCCGGAAGAGTTCAGTGTAGCAGATCCGGTGTGTTTCCAAAGCAGAGGTGTCACGGATGAAAGTGAAGAGCGGGGGTGCATGTGAGGAGGGGGATCGGTTCAATGAGGTGCCAGATCAGATTTCAGAAGTGCCCGATCACGAATGTTCCAGCACAAATTAAGCCCGGCTCATCCTAAATTCTTGTGCAACTTGCAAAAAAAAAAATAAACAGTCCATCTATACGTCATTAAATACGCTATTTTCCAACTTCAAAAATCCACCAATCAGAGAGTTGCAGCAAGCAAAGCATGCCACAATACATTTGTAGCTCCGCCCACTCTCTGTGACAAACAAGTGCTTGTTTGCTCCGCCCACTCCTTGTGACAAACAAGTCCCTGTTTAGCCCCGCCCACTTTCTGTAACAAACAAGTGCTTGTTTGGCTCCGCCCACTCCTTGTGACAAACAAGTCCCTGTTTAGCTCCGTCCACTCTCTGTGACATAAGTCTCTGTTTAGCTCCGCCCACTGCTTTTGACATAAACAAGTCCCTGATCTGATTTTTTTTTTTCTTCAGATATTCAAAAGCTTCCTTACTTCAAATCAAATATTTCATTGTTTCCTCCTTGTAGCTGGATGGTTTTGTTGAAGGCCACGGTGTACCTCAAATGAAATTAAATAAAGCACTGAAATTACATAATTTCGATTCAAATTTGGCCAAAACGAAGTTCTTTATGAGTTCAAATCGGCTAACTTTTGGGAGATTTTGTTTTGGTTCTCCGCCATCTTTGACATGCTTTGTAGGCCCCTTAAGCAATTTTTTTATAGATTGTCTACAGAACAAATACTGTTATACGATGACGCCTAATTACTCTAACCAGCTTGTTTTCCTTCAAACAGCAACTGGGGAAAAATGGGGGGGGGGGAATATCAGAATATTCTGAAACAGTATACCCAACAAAAAAAGCGTTAATTAAGAAAAGCATTAGATGGAATGTACAGATAATCCAACAAACCAGCAGTTGAATCCTAACTTTAACCCAAAAAGAGCTGTTAATGTAATCACCCCAGTGTTTTGAGCTCATCCTAAACACTTTAAATAAATAAATAAATAAAATGTTATCATTCTCACTCAATCCCTCTACAGTAAATCAACAAATATGCCTTTTTCCAACTTGAGAAAAGCTCAGTCCTTTACTGTGGGTTCGTCTTTGCATCTGGAAAGCAGTCAGTCTCTGTCTCTCTCTTTTATTGGCTGTTATTGTACTCCCTCTCGTCCGTCTGTGTGAGCCAGGTTATGTGAATGCAGCGTGGCGCCCCCTGCTGGATGGAATTCTGTGGGTGATGTAGAACTGGGGATGCTGAGAGGATGAGATGAAGGGCATGAGCAGAGAGCAGAGCCTGAGCAGACGATGCGTCTACTGGTTCTTCTTGTCATCAGATGGGGAGTAGGGCGGAGGCTTGTCCTGCAAAGTGAAAACACTATTTATAAACACTATCTATCTGTCTGTCTATCTATCTATCTATCTATCTATCTATCTATCTATCTATCTATCTATCTATCTATCTATCTATCTATCTGTCTGTCTGTCTGTCTGTCTGTCTGTCTGTCTGTCTGTCTATCTATCTGTCTGTCTGTCTGTCTGTGTGTCTGTCTATTTATCTATCTATCTATGTCTATCTATCTATCTATGTCTATCTATCTATCTATCTATCTATCTATCTATCTATCTATCTATCTATCTATCTATCTATCTATCTATCTATCTATCTATCTATCTATCTATCTATCTATCTATCTATTTATCTCTGTCTGTCTGTCTGTCTATCTGTCTGTCTATCTATCTATCTATCTATCTATCTATCTATCTATCTATCTATCTATCTATCTATCTATCTATCTATCTATCTATCTATCTATCTATCTATCTATCTATCTATCTATCTATCTATCTATCTATCTATCTATCTATCTATCTATCTCTGTATCTCTGTCTGTCTGTCTGTCTGTCTGTCTATCTATCTATCTATCCATCTATCTATCTATCTATCTATCTATGCCTATCTATCTATCTATCTATCTATCTATCTATCTATCTATCTATCTATCTATCTATCTATCTATCTATCTATCTATCTATCTACGTCTGTCTGTCTGTCTGTCTATCTATCTGTCTGTCTGTCTGTCTGTCTGTCTGTCTGTCTGTCTATCTATCTCTGTCTGTCTGTCTGTCTGTCTGTCTGTCTGTCTATCTGTCCATCCGTCCATCCATCTACATTGAATCAGGTCATAATTTCAGTTTAACACATTTGAATTGTTTGCATATAGGCTTTGTTTTATATGAACTTTGTTAATGGATTGAACACAGCTGTGTATATAGACCTTGTTAGCAGGTCACACAAAGTAAACCGTTTGGACTTGGTTAACAGGTTGATAAACTCACCTCCGGCAGGTAAACGTGTGTTGGAGCGTAAGTGGTGTTAGCGCTGGAACTGGCTGCTGCTTCAGCTGCTTTTGCCTCCGCTAGAACAACAAATCTTAAATAAATAGCTTTTCAAGATTAAAATATCTGCCAACTAGTCATAGATTCACAAAGGTTTAAGACTGCTTATGAGATTACCATTTTTTTAAACATTATTATTACATGGCTCTCTGAAATTGGTCAACCATGATATTCTGCAGTAACAACCGGCTGGATGTACTTTATCCCTTTACTTTGTTAAAACTATTATGTTTTATTAAAAAAGTATCTGGGATGTGGCTGCTACATGTACTTGATAAAGTTAGTCATAATAACGGGAGTTTAAATCTAGTGGTAATGAATTTGTTGATTTAATTTTATTAGTATGAAAAAAATAAATGTTCTTAAAGTCGGCATGAAATCAAAATTTACTCTTATTTTTATTTTTATAAAGGAGTGCTTGTCCTAAACAATGTATCTGTGCTAGGGATGGGAAGATTAACCGATATGTATCGATACGCGGTCATGCGCGTGCACGATCAGAGTGCATCGGTTGACCAGCAGAGAATGAATGAAATTTTGGAAGCAAATCGAGATGCATCGGTTTTTGCGAGATGCATCGGTTTTTCCGAGATACAGCTTATATTTTTAATATAGAATGTATTTTTTATTTATTAACAAGTGTTGTCAACCTGTTTTTGGCGCATAATTTAATCGACCTACATAAAGTAAGCCTTAGCAACGGATTTGCGGATGTGTACACTTACACTACAACTCAGTGTATCAGGTGTGCGGATGAAGCTAGTGGTGCGCCCTCAGAAAGCGCGAGAAGCAAAACAAACATTTTATTCCCCACTGAGTTTTAAATCTAAAGTATGGCAACATTATGGATTTAGGGATGGACGACTTGACAGGACAGATGCAATTTGGAAAATGTGCCGCGCATCTATAAAATACGCGGGCAGTACGACTAATCTGATTTCTCACTTGAAGCGGCGCCACGGTGTTGTTGTGAAAGCATCTTCCAGTGTTTCTGCATCCCCGGCTTTCGCACTGCTTCAACTGTAGCTACCAGCTCCAAGACTGGTGAGAAAAGCATTGCAAGTTTTTTTCCATGCGCAAAAGTTTTGTGCGCTCTACGCCAATAACGGATGTTATTGCATTGTTCATCTGCAGGACCGGAGCAAGCTGAACTGCTGCTCTAGGCAGAGGACGATCACGCCGCCCTCAACCCCAATGTAAAAACGAAAGTGACCGGTTATGAAAATGAAGTGACGTGTCGCGGACCTCTATTCTGCCGCCCTATGCGCGGATATAACTGAGGACGCGCGGGTGTCGCGGACCTCTATTCTTCCGCCCTATGCGCGGATATAACTGAGGACGCGCGGGTGTCGCGGACCTCTATTCTGCCACCCTATGCGCGGATATAACTGGGTGTTGCGGACGCCGCCCTCTCTATACTGCCGCCCTAGGCGGTTTTAAACACCTCCTCCTGTTAATTTTTATTTATTTATAATAATAATAATATTAATAATAATAATGATAAAAATAATGGGTGTCACGGTGGCACAGTGGGTAGTTTGACCACCTCACAGCAAGAAGATTGCTGGTCTGTTATATTTTTATTAGCCTGTTGTTTACAGTGACAGTGATGTTTCAAAGCAGCATAACACTGCTAGTTCACGACCTTAAGTTTTGAATATTCAGTGGTAAAATATATCTTTGTAAAACTTGTTTTCATAGTTAAAAAGTTAAATCACAATTCTTGTTGTGCAAAGCTAAACCTTTATGTTGAAAGAGTGCAAATATATATATTTTAATATATATTGCACTTATACATTCTGTTTATCTTGAAAATACTTAAATTATATGTGCTATATGCTCTAAAATGGCCCTCTACTGTAAACTGACACTCTGGCTCTGAGAGAAAAGCCAGTTTGTAAAAAAAAGTCTTGGTTTTGCTTGGTTAATAAATAATCAAACTCATTCAATGGCACAGCATCCTCTTTCACATAATCTCATAAACTTGATTTAATTAGTTAGTGCTGAATTATCGCATTGTATCGTGATATGGGTGTGAATTGTATCGTGTTGCATCGCAATATGTCACAAATGTATCGCTAATATATCGGATCGTATTCTTTGTATCGAGATGCGTATCGGATCGGCATTATAGCTTAGATGCCCAACCCTAATCTGTGCAATTTATTAATTTTTTTCACTTCGGAGCGGAGCTATCAGTTTTTAGGATGGCGATATCAGTCATGTAGGGTGGAGCTATCAGTCCATTAGGGTGGAGTTATCAGTCCTTTAGGGTGGAGATATCAGTCCTTTAGGGCAAAGCTATCAGTTCTTTAGAGGGGAGCTATCAGTCCTTTAGGGTGGAGCTATCAGTCCTTTAAGGTGGAGCTAGAGGGGAGCTATCAGACCGTTAGGGTGGAGCTATTATTCCTTTAGGGCGGAGCTATCAGTCCGTTAGGGTGGAGCTATCAGTGCTTTAGAAGGGAGCTATCAGACCTTTAGGGTGGAGCTATTAGTCCTTTAAGGTGGAGCTAGAGGGGAGCTATCAGACCTTTAGGGTAGAGCTATTATTCCTTTAGGGCGGAGCTATCAGTGCTTTAGAAGTGAGCTATCAGACCTTTAGGGTGGAGCTATTATTCCTTTAGGGCGGAGCTATCAGTGCTTTAGAAGGGAGCTATCAGACCTTTAGGGTAGAGCTATTATTCCTTTAGGGCGGAGCTATCAGTGCTTTAGAAGGAAGCTATCAGACCTTTAGGGTGGAGCTATTAGTCCTTTAGGGCGGAGCTATCAGTCCGTAAGGGTGGAGCTATCAGTGCTTTAGAGGGGAACTATCAGACCTTTAAGGTGGAGCTATTAGTCCTTTAGGGCGGAGCTATCATTTTGTCAAATTCCCACATTCCAACAATCCAATTGGTTTCAAAAGGATGAAATCATGCACCTGCCTACATTTTTCCCATTTCAAGCCAAATTTTGGTACGTCATGTTAGAGTAAAAAAAGAAAATTTTAAACTCCATTCCATGCCGACTTTAAAAACAAGATATTGTAAGGTTTTTCCCAAGAATTCCACAAAAGAATGTTCTTAAAAACATCTCAGGATTTATTTTAAGAGATAAATTTCTTAAAGGGATATTCACCCAAAATAACAATTCTGCCATAATTTACTTCACTTTGAGTTGATTCTTCTGTTAAACACAAAGGTAGATATCAGTGTTGGAAACCATTATCCATAGACTTCAATAGTATCTTTTTTCTCTTACTATAGAAGTCAATGGTTACCAGTCTCCAGCATTCTTCACAATATCTTCTTTTAGGTTCAACAGAAAAAAAAGATACTCAAAGGACAGTTCTCCCTAACTTAAAAATTCTGTCATCACTTGCTGACCCTATACATGTTTTAAACCCTTATGTGTTTCTTTCTACTGTTAAACACAAAAAATATATGTATTTTTGATGGAAAGCTGTAACCATTGACTTCCATAGTATTTGTTTGTGGAAGTCTTTGGTTACAGATTTTCAGATTTTACAGTTTTATTCAAAATATCTTGTATTTTGTGTTGAACTGAAGAAAGAAAGTCATGAAGGTAAAAGTAAAAAGTAAATAACTTTTTTTTAGGTAAACTGTGCCTTTAAGCTTAAAGCCTGGTTTTTACTCGACGCGTCCGCTTGTTTGCTTGAGTGCGCACGGCGAATGTGACGTCATCGCGGAGTTTGCGGTGGTTTGCTTTGGGTGCGTGCAGCATGATTTCGGCTGGCGGTGCGCATGGGGATTTTTTGATACTCGAGCGAAGAGTGCGCGCGGCGCCGCAACTGATTTGAGTTAAATATAAACCACTTTGAAGAGATTTTATCTGAAACAATACAACTGTACACACATCTTATGACCCGTGATCAGAGAGATAATCATATGATCAATAATTCCTGGCTAGAAATTGCAACAGCAGTGGGAAAGGAGAAAGTTTTTGTTAAAAGGTTTGGAAAAACCTGAAGGATAAGTTTTTGAAAACCAAGAGAGGCCATGACAAAATGTACACAATTACAGAATGTTTTTCCACCAGTCATAGGTTTTTACACGCATGTATTTAGTTTAATTTTGTATTAAAAACTATTTAATAGTTACAAAACTATGATGAAGTCATAAAATTATTTTTGATAACTGGAAAGGAATAGATATACTGATGGCCTGCTTCTCTGGGCTTTACTGGTGATAATGGTCAGGAATGTTGGACCATCATTTCCTTTTTAGCATAAGTAGAGGACAGAAACTAGCCAGACAGTAATGTGTGAATTGTGTATTTTTGTGTAACATCTGTATTTTTTAGTCAGTGTGCTTTTTTTTTGCTTTTATTTTTGCGATAATAAAACATTTATTTGTAGAGCGACTCAAGTTCTGTTGTCATTAATATTTTAATAAATTGTAATAGGTATAACTGTTCGAGATATAAACAAAAGCAAGTGATGACCAATAATAATTTGCTAGAAATAACAACAGCAGTGGGAAAGGAGGAAAGTTTATGCTAAAAAAATTGGAAAAACCTGAGGGATAAGTTTGTTTATGCCGAAAGAAATCATGGCAAAATTGAAGACTCAGGTATACAATTACAGAATATGTTTTTCCATCAGTCATAGCTTTTACACTAACGTATGTTTATGGATCGGGCTAAATCCAAAAAAAAATAAATCTGTATTTTTTTAGTAAGTGTACTTTTTATTTTTTGCTTTTATTCTTGCCATAATAAAGATATATTTGTAGAGGAACTCATGTTCTCTTGTGAAGCTTTAAAAAGTAAAACTGTCCGAGTTATGGACAAAAGCAAGTGATGCATTAAAGTTTGATTAAAAAAGACTTAAATGGTTATAAAAATGCTTATAATCATTAAAATACTTTATAAAAACAATACAAAATAATTAGTTTAAAAATATTGAACGACATTATGATATGACGTACTTCCAGAAACTTCTCTGTTTATTCGTCTGATTTTAGGGTGGGTTTCTTTTGACCGCCCCTGTCGTTTTAAAGATTATCACAACGGCGAACGCGGCGAGTATAAAAGCCTCATCCGTTTTGCGAGGTGCGCACGCAGTCAGCAAAGGTGCGCGATGCGGCGCCAGGCACAAGTATAATTCCAGCTTTAGAGCCACTTGAGTGCAAATAAATGGTAAACAAATTTCTTTTTTTGCGTGAACTATCCCTTTAAGAATCCGGCTGCAGAAGTTCAGCATCTTCTAGAAGTGGGTCATACCAGCAGCGGTTCTGGGCAGGTCTGGGTCGAGCGGAGCATGATCCACTGGAGCAGTGTATGGAGGAGGAGGCATGTAGGCTGCTGGTCCATCAAACACAGGAGGACTGGGGTAAAACCCACCTAAAGCACACAAAATAACATGGTAAGGAGGAGACTGTGAGGTTGTAATAATGCTCCCCAAACTCTTTTCACCATCTTTCAGAATGAAACACCAATTTTTCTACATCCAATCAGATCGCAGAAGAAAAAACAAGCCACGCCCACTGTTTGCTCGTTTAATATTCTGTTTTTCTAGGAACTGCGTCACAATTTGAAAGAAAAACGGTCGCAGCTTCCAGTTGATGTGGACTTTAAGTGCATGTTATTACCTGGAGGTGGAGGTCCAGGGTAGGCGTATCCAGGTGGAGGAGGCCCGGCAGGATACATGCCGTTAGCAGGAGGAGGTGGAGGAAAAGCGTACGCACCGTTCGCCATGTAAGGACAGCCGAAGTTTACAGTCACCGGTTGCCCTCTGGATGCTGAGGTAAAGAAAGAGAGGTCATGCACATCCACATCAGTTTGACTGCTTAATGATGAGACTCTTATTTTGAAACTGGTTGAGCACAAACGTACCCTGCTCTGCCACATGTAACATGCGCTGACCAAACTCGATCGCTCCTCCAGCGCTAAAGATCAGCTTGAAGGTTGCAGATCCTTCCCAACCACCTGGAACAATAATGCAAACACACTTGTATTTACAGTATATTTACAGTACATGCTATACTGTAGATCTGTTTACTTCCACACAAGTACATGTGTGCTTCCTTTTCATGTTCAGATTAACTCAAACCAGGACTCTACATTTGATTGAAATCAAAATTCAAGAAGAGTCTTGATCTGATTACTTTTGTCTGTTCACATGGTATACGAAACTGCCTTTTTTTACATTTTTTATTTTTAGTTAATTTATGTTTATTCAGGCGAGGCAGTGGCACAATAGGTAGTGCTGTCGCCTCACAGCAAGAAGGTCACTGGTTCGAACCTCGGCTCAGTTGACATTTCTGTGTGGAGTTTGCATGTTCTCCCTTCTTTCGCGTGGGTTTCCTCCGGGTGCTCCGGTTTCCCCCACAGTCCAAAGACATGCGGTACAGGTGCATTGGGTAGGCCAAGTTGTCCGTAGTGTATGAGTGTGTGTGTGTGGATGTTTCCCAGAGATGAGTTGCAGCTGGAGCGGCATCCGCTGCGCAAAACAAAATTGCTGGATAAGTTGGCGGTTCATTCCTCTGTGGCGACCCCGAATTAATAAAGGGACTAAGCCGACAAGAAAATGAATGAATGAATGAATGTATATTCATTCGTTCATTCATTTATTCAATCATTAATTTTCCTTCAGCTTAGTCCCTTATTTACCAGGGGTTGCTACAGCGGAATGAACCGCCAACTATTCCAGCATATGTTTTACACAGCGGATGCCCTTCCAGCCGCAGCCCAGAGCTGGGAAACACCCATACACTCTCACGTTCATACACTCAGACATTATGGCCAATTTAGTGGCCAATTCACCTATAGCACATGTGCTTGGACTGTGGGGGAAACAGGAGCACCCAGAGGAAACCCACACCAACACGGGGAGAACATGCAAACTACACACAGAAATGCCAACTGACCTAGCCAGAACTCAAACCACTGAGCCTCCGTGCCGCCCATTCACATTTTTAGTAGTTTTTTTATTTTTATTTAATATATATTATAATTTATATATAAATTATTTAATATTCTTTAATGTTTTCAATTTCTATTTAGCTTCATGTAAGCTTTTTTTGCACTTCAACTTTACATTTTTATTTAATCTTATTTATACTTAGTTGATCTTTTAACATTTAAGTTGTCTTTTATACGTACAATTAATAAACATTCATTTATCATTCATTTTCTTGTCGGCTTAGTCCCTTTATTAATCCAGGGTCGCCACAGTGGAATGAACCGCCAACTTATCAAGCACGTGTTTTACACAGCAGCTGCCCTTTCAACGGCAACTCATCTCTGGGAAACATCCATACACTCTCATTCACACTCAAACAGTTCGGACAATTTAGCCTACCCAATTTACCTGCAACGCATGTCTTTGGACTGTGGGGGAAACCAGAGTATGCGGAGGAAACCCACGCGAACACAGAGAGAACATGCAAACTCCACACAGAAACACCAACTGACCCAGCCGAGGCTCGAACCAGCAACCTTCTTGCTGTGAGCGACAGCACTCCCTACTGTGCCACTGCATCACCAATTAGTGAACATATTTTAATAAATGTTTTAGTACACTAAAAAATCTTGCTGATTTAACTTTTTAAGTTGAATCAAATGAACTTTTCTAGTCATCTCAACAACTACTTAACTCATTGTAAACATAAAATCAATTGGTCGAGACAACAAATATTTTTATGCTGCTTTAACTTATTTTTATAAGTTGATCAGGTTTCAAATAATTTTTTAAAGTTATACAAAGTTTAACTTTTAGTCATTTTGATTGATGTATCACTCAACATCTTAACAGAATTTATATATATATTAATTCCTTACATTTGTATAGCACTTTTCTAGACAAACAAAGCGCTTTACACAATAGAGGGGGATCTCCTCATCCACCACCAGTGTGCAGCATCCACCTGGATGACACGACGGCAGCCATATTGCACCAGACCGCACAACACACACCAGCTGCTTTGGTGGAGAGGAGACAGAGAGATGATATGCCAATTATGATATGGGAATGGTTAGGAGGCCATGATGGACAGAGGCCAGTGGGCAGATTTGGCCTTAAACCCCTACTCTTCGAAGGACGTCCTGGGATTTTTAACGACCACAAAGAGTCGGGACCTCGGTTTAACGTCTCATCTAAAAGACGGCACTCACTGAGCAGTATAGAGTCCCCATCAATATACTGGGGCATTAGGACCCACACGGAGCACAGGTTGAGAGCCCCCTGCTGGTCACACTAACACCACTTCCGGCAGCAATTTAGCTTTCCCATGTGGTCTTCCATCCAGGAACTGACCGGGCGCAGCCCTGCTTAGCTTCAGTGGGCGACCATGTGAGAGTTGCAGAGAGCTAGCCGCCGGCAAAATAATCATTATGCATTTATGAAGTGAGCTTTATACAGGTGAGTGGGCTTGACAAACCACCTGTAAAACACACTAATCCATCTAAAGAATTAAGAAAAATCCTCCCTCCTCCTTACTGTGTCACTTAATTCTCTGATCCTCGGCTCAGTTGGCGTTTCTGTGTGGAGTTTGCTTGCTGGAAAAAGTTGGCGGTTCATTCCGCTGTGGTGACCCCAGATTAATAAAGGGACTAAGCCGACAAGAAAATGAATGAATGAATATTGCCTGTTTTTTATTGAATCGCTGAATGCCTCATCAGTTGTAAGTCGCTTTAGACAAAAGCATCTGCTAATTGACCAAATGCAGTAAATAATGGCAACAGTTTTATTTTCGACTATTATTATTTTATTATTATTATTCTCAGCTACTCTGTCTGTTTGCACATTAACGATGGTGTTATATTTATTTTATTAATTGGTTTATATTATAGTAATTCATAGTAATTTTACCTCCAGACTCTGCGCCGACTGTGCCCTTGATGTAATTTGCACCGAGCACAGGCTGCTTGACCTCGCAGCCCTTCATAAGATAGAAGGGCATCATGAAAGACTGCAGAGGATCTTTTCCTTTAGTCAGGAAGATGACCTGAAGACCAAACACATCAGCAGAAGAAAAACAGTGACAACAGAGGAGCACAACAACATTTATAAAACAGATTCATCCTACAACCAATAAGGAGACAATCCATTTTGGTTTACCCTAATAATAATAATAATAATAATAATAATAATAAGCTTAAAGAGTGTGTACTACCTTCATTATACACAGTAAATTAATAATAAAGTAGAATCATTTCGCCAATTATTTATGCTTTTGAATTGCATTATGGGAGCTTCAAACACTTCAAAGCATTTTATGGGACCTTTAAATATAATTTACTACTTTGATTCTGTAACTGGCTCTGTCCTAATAATCATTTAATAATCATGATGGTTCTCGTTGTCTTGCGTACCCTGTAAGGTGTCAGGTAGATGCTTCCCTTCTTGCTCTTTCTGAAGGCGTCCGGCAAGCGTTCGCTGTCACTGAACACCAGCTCCACATTCTCATATGACATCAGGACACTGGAGGAAAACATATTCACTGTAATACAGTCAGCACTTTCTGTGACAACACGTAATGATCAAAACAAGCTCGGCCATTGCGGATAAGGAAACAAAGACTGTTTATAGCCTTCAAGAATATCAGGATCAGCTTCGGTTTTAAGAACACTTGTCTATTATAAAGCACTATAAATAATAACAAAGGAAATCACATAAATTGTAAATGAATATATAATAATAAAGCCAACAGTCAACTTTAGCAAACGAAATGAGTGTAGTTAACTCAAAATTGACTGAAAGTTAATTCTACTCATTTGAAAAAGGTTTTGAACTCAGTGTTGAAGGTAATGAGTTAATTAAACACCTCATTACTTACATTTTACATTTACATTTAGTCATTTAGCAGACGCTTTTATCCAAAGCGACTTACAAATGAGGACAAGGAAGCAATTTACACAACTAAGAGCAACAATGAATAAATGCTGTAGGCAAGTTTCAGGTCTGTAAAGTCTAAGAGGGGAAGTATTAGTAGTATTAGTTTTTTTTTTTTTTTTTTTTTTTGTACAGTTAGTGTGATATTCAGAGAAGCAATTGCAGATTAGGAAGTGTAGTGGAGACTAAATAGTTGGGTTTTTAGTAGTTTCTTGAAAGTAGCGAGTGACTCTGCTGTTCTGATGCAGTTAGGGAGTTCATTCCACCAACTGGGCAGATTGAGCGTGAGCGTTCGCGAAAGTGATTTCTTCCCTCTTTGGGATGGAACCACGAGGCGACGTTCATTCACAGAACGCAAGTTTCTGGTACTGGTTTCTGGTACTTCTGGTACTTTCTGGTACTTCAACTTAAATGGAGTAAGTTCACGGTACTCATATAGAATAGTTTCTTAACTCAAATGTTTTGTTGCCTTAACTAGTTGGGTTTTACAGTACTCAGTTAATTTGAGTTCTCTTAATTTTTTGGGTTTTACTGTGCACAAATTGCTTCGTTAACTCAAATGGATTAAGTTCACAGTACTCATTAGGATTAGTTTTTGTACTTAAAATAGTTCCTCAAATGGTTTGAGTTACCTTAACTCACAGGTGTCAAACTCAGTTCCAAAAGGGCCGCAGCTCTGCACAGTTTAGTTCCAACCCTAATTAAACACACCTGATCAAACCAATTGAGTCCTTCAGGCTTGTTTGAAACCTACAGGTAAGTGTGTTGGAGCAACTAAACTGTGCAGGGCTTCGGCCCTCCAGGAATTGAGTTTGACACCCCTGCCTTAACTCATTGGGTTTTACAGTGTATAATGACAACATTCAGAAATCAGGTTTATAGATCATCAGACGTATCATCATTTGTTTTAGCATGTACGATCATATTACCAACTGTGCCTGCCATCTTAATGATTTGTTGTTTAAATATGTTTTAACTGCACTGTAAAAAAAATCGATTTAGTTAACACTTTTAACAAATGTATGTGGACTGATCATAGAAAATTAAGTTGTCCCAATAAAAAATAGGAATTGTGTTGTTTCAGCTTATTTTAATTAAGTATTTTGAACGAGTAAACAAAAAATGTATTTATTTTTTTTTTGAGTGTACTCTTATCTCCATTACATAATGTTAGTGTTTTAGGTTATTTTGTTCAATATAATTTTTTTAAAGATCTACCTAACTATGTCTATTTTAGTGTTTCTTGGTTATGATTGATTTTTAGGGTGACAACTTTAACATCTGTCCAGGGACAATGGATGAAAAAAAACCTTCTGGCTAAATCTGGAACATTTGCAGCAATGCTAATTAATGTACACTGACCCTGCCAAATAAAACAAATAAATAAATTTAAATAAATTATTATCATTTTAATGTAATATATAATGTAATTAATAATAAAATGAATATCAATTAATAATTGAAAGCTATGTAAAATAAGGGTAATTAAAATGTTAATTATAAACTGTAATGGAAATTAAAATAATACAAAATTGTTATTATTTATTGTGAATTATTATGCATATAAATTTATATATATAGTTGAAGTCAGAATTATTAGCCCCCCTTTGAATTTCTTTTTCTTTTTCCAATATTTCCCAAATTATGTTTAACAGAGCAAGGAAATTTTCACAGTATGTCTGATAATATTTTTTCTTCTGGAGAAAGTCTTATTTGTTTTATTTCGGCTAGAATAAAAGCAGTTTTTAATTTTTTTTATCATTTTAGGGACAAAATTATTAGCCCCTTTAAGCTAATTTCTATTTCGATAATCTACAGAACAAACCATCATTATACAATAACTTGCCTAATTACCCTAACCTGCCTAGTTCACCTAATTAACCTAGTTAAGCCTTTAAATATCACTTTAAGCTGTATAGAAGTGTCTAGAATATCTAGTCAAATACTATTTACTGTCATCATGGCAGAGATAAAATAAATCAGTTATTAGAGATGAGTTATTAAAACTATTATATTTAGAAATGTGTTGAGAAAAATCTTCTCTCCGTTAAACAGAAATGGGGGGGGGGGGCAGATAAACAGATAAACAGGGGGGCTAATAATTCTGACTTCAACTGTACTGTACTGTTACAGGTCCCTGGCAGTCGGCAGTAGTCTTGAGAGAGATAAGAGTTTAGCTTTTGCTTCACAGTCCTCTTTGTTGTCTTTTAAATTCACATACACATTTGTATGTTAGAGCAAAGAGCTTAGAATGATGATTCTAACACTTTGCATTACAAAATGATTTAGAAACATGTTGGATAAAATAATATACACTGTATAGATACTTAAATCAACTCACATTATGATAAATAAATAAACAAACAAACAAACAAATAACAACATGAAACCTTAACCATTTGTACAGAAATGCTATGATTTTTATCACATGGCTGAGTTAGTATTAAAGTTAGAAAGACAACTCAGTTAAGTATTGCGGGTAAACTAAGGAATTTTTCCTAAACTGGAATAATATGCAACAAATGTGTCATTTATCCATAATTGAATCCATCATTATAAAATAAAATAATGTAAAATGCTTCAATTTGTTTTTATAGGAAACATTCAATTCTGTTACTACTTGTTGTTACAATTAATGTTAAGCATATTCATATGTATGGGTATATAGTGTTATTAAGAGACATAATGTCATTCCCGGTGTCAACAATCTCTTAATCAGTTGTGTAATATGACACAAGCTCTTGTGAAACAGTGTATTCTCCTTAAGAACATGTCATTTCTTTAAGAAGAATGTTAAGAAGATTATTGCTTGACCTACTGTGGCTGAACAGCACAAATGCGAATCCCACTAAAGCGAGGGCTGAGCTCATTAATATTAATTACGTAACGTGGCTGTTGTCGATAGGCCAATCTAATTAGCAACATGTCAGAGCAGGGTTGCATAGGGACAGATGTGTGTCATGGATGGATGGATGGATGGATGGATGGATAGATAGATAGATAGATGGATAGAGATATAGACAGATAGACAGATAGACAGATAGATAGATAGATAGATAGATAGATAGATAGATAGATAGATAGATAGATAGATAGATAGATAGAAAATAGACAGATAGATACACACATAGATAGATAGATAGATAGATAGATAGATAGATAGATAGATAGATAGATAGATAGATAGATAGATAGATAGATAGAAAATAGACAGATAGATACACACATAGATAGATAGATAGATAGATGGATAGATAGATAGATAGATAGATAGATAGATAGATAGATAGATAGATAGATAGATAGATAGATAGATAGATAGATAGATAGATAGATAGATAGATAGACAGACAGACGGATAGAGATATAGACAGATAGATACAGAGATAGATAAATAGACAGACAGACAGACAGACAGACAGACAGACAGACAGATAGATAGATAGACAGACAGACAGACAGACAGACAGACGGAGATTAGATAGATAGATAGATAGATAGATAGATAGATAGATAGATAGATAGATAGATAGATAGATATAGATAGATAGATAGATAGATAGATAGATAGATAGATAGATAGATAGATAGATAGATAGATAGATAGATAGATAATTTACGTGACTGAACGCTGCAGGAAGGTTTCCAAGCAACTCGAGCGTGACTGAATTAATATTCATGAGCTCAGGCTTCGCCATAGTAACGTTCTCGAAAGCTGCGCAGGATCTGTTTTAAACAATATCAACTCATCTAACTGGTTATCGGTTGCATTTATAGTATACAAACTTAATAATGCATAAAATAAACACATAAACGTCAGACAGTCAGGCTACACAGCAAACTAATAAATGGGTGTGATCTAACGGTTCACCCGACGTGATCCAAAACACATGACTATCACTGTTCATACCATGATAAACAGTAAATACAGAGATTAACTGAATGTGGTCGTTGCTTTACAAATCTGTGAAATCATAAAAAGCCTATCTGTTTTAAAATGCAGCGCAATAACGCGATGTAGATAATAGTGAGTGCGATTCCGCTACATTACCCCTCGAAGTTGTTGATGATGACACGTCCAGATTCATCGTGATTTTTATTGAGAGCCATGTTTGATTTCTGTCTGTTATGCTGTCAAACTGACCCTCTACATTCTCCGAGCGCAACTCAATGAGCCACCTGCACTTCCGCCATATGTCACGCCCCTCCGAGTGACGTCATCTAGCAGGGTTTAGACCGGTTTAGACATTTCCCGAACCTTCTCAAATAACCCATAATAAACAGATTGCTGCTTATCCATTCTAATGGGATTTAGATCAATTTCCCTATATTGGTTTCATTATGAATATAAAATGTAAACGGAAAAATCTGTAAACAACAAGTAAATAACATGTCCATTTAAAATAATATTCTAAATAAAATAGTTTTTAAGCATTAGTAACAGTTTAAATTGACCTTGACAGTGAATTAATGAACAATTGAATTAATTAAAAAATAATAAATATAAACATTCAGAAATAATATAAATCAAAATTAATGAAAATATGACTTAATAACTATAGAAATGGTTTTGATTTTACTAGCATTACAACATGAACGAACGAATGAATGAGTTGCTTATCTAATCTAACAGGATTTAGCTAAATTTTCCTATAGTGTGTTTATTACAAAGATAAAATGTAAACGATGTGTAATAACATGTTCGTTTAAAATATTATAAATTGGTTTAAAGCATTTGTAACAGTTTAAATTTACTTTGACGGTGAATTAATGAACGAATAAATTAATAAATAAATATAGAAATTAATTCATTAAAACAAACATTTATATTCATGATTAAAATAAATCTGCAATAATGAAAAGGTGACTTAATAACTATAGAAATGACTGATTTTACTTGCTTTTAGAATATGATTGAATCAAATAATCAATGAACTTCTAATCTGATAGGATTTAGTTAAATTTCCCTATATTATAATATTTATATTTATTTTTTTCCAATATGAATAAATGAATGAACTACTTATTTAATCTAATGGGATTTAAATGTTCCTATATTGTGTTTATTATGAAGATAAAAAGTAAATGTTGTGTTAATAACATGTTCGTTTGAAATATTATAAATTGGTTTAAAGCATTTGGTTTAAAGCAATAAATTAATAAATAAATATAGAAATAAATTCTTTAAAACAAACATTTATATCCATGATTGAAATAAATCTACATTAATGAAAAGATGACTTAATAATAGAAACGACTTTGATTTTACTAACATTACAACATGAATGAATGAATGAATTAACTGCTTATCTAATCTAATGTGGTTTTGGTAAATTTTTCATATTGTGTTTATTATGAAGATAAAATGTAAACGTAATATTTTATTAAGGTTAGGGGGGCATCCCTAACCTAACATAAACCCAAATTGTACCTTACTAACTATTAACAAAACAGCTAATTATTTTATTAAGCTAGTAGTGTTAGATTAATTGTTTGTTAATACTGTGAATTGTGGCCTAAACTAAAAAACATTGTTGCCAAAATATGTGGTAAAAAGTATACTACTTATTACAGTTTATCAGTTGTACACATTTATATATTTTATTTTGTTGTATGTATTAATTATAAATAAAAAATATAATTCAAATGAAGTGCAATTCAGTGCCTCCATATACTTCTTAGCCATACATATCAGCCTTTTCCACAAAATTGCAGAAATGCTGATAGCTCTAAATTAATCCAATATCGACTGATAAATATTGGCAGCCAATTTATTCGTGCATCTCTAAAACATGCATATATATATATATATATATATATATATATATATATATATATATATATATATATATATATATATATATATTCTTTTATTGCTTATTTCTGCACATAATTGTTGAACTTTGATGAGCTTTTTATTACCTCCTCCAAATGTTGACTAATGAAGGTACATTATTACTGTCAAGCTGTAATTAGGTATTGTCAAAACATGTTGCATACAAATGCATTCAATTATATGACAGTGTATTGCTGTAGAGGACAAATAAAACACGAGACAGGCGTTTAGAAAGAGGACAGTTTATTTTGTTTGACCTGCAAACTTATCTAAACAAGATAAACTTTCAGAAAACAGCCCGGAAACATTATAATGCGCGCTCATGAATATAACCTGCGGTTGTCTTAAACGGTTGTCTTCAATAGTCCTTTGCTCAACAGCTCTGCTGAAACACAAAGCAAAACATTACAACAGCCAGACATACAGTTAAAACATAACAGTTACCATGGTTTCTATTTTAAACTATAGTAAACTAAAGTTTGAAACTATAGTTTAAAATAGACAATGAGTGGGCCTCGCTGCTCCCACCCACCATAACCCTCGCAGCGAGGTCCCACTACCGGCCTCCCGTGTTTCCCAGAGGGTCCTCGAGGCTTGTTTGTTTCCTGCCTAGGGCTCAAAAGCACCCAGGGAGGGCACGAGTTAACCGGGCGCCAGGCCGTGTTCACTGGATGTTGCTCGGCGGCACATTTCGAGCAACAAACTTGTAATGTTCTTCGCGATATTGCGTTTATGTACGCAAACCGCAAGGAACTACAGCACAGATGGGCCCGAGAGAAGCTTCACGAAGCGGACTTCGTGAGATTGGCGTGGCTCCACTCGTACCGTCGGTATTGAACTCACCTTGGTCAAGTACAAACAGCAACATCGAGCGAACTGACAACACTGGGAGAGAACCGACGAGCTTTATAGGAATGCAGATGCAAATGTTTACATGGCGACGTCACTGCTGTGAGTCTCGTTGTCATGGTGAGCGCTGAAGAGAGCACCTCATTGGAGAACACACAGGCTCGGGAATCTCCGTCACGGCGAGTTGCGGTCAGCTGTGGACTAAAGCATTTTAAATATATTGAATGTATATTTTTACATTTTTGGTGCTGTGTATTATTCTGGGATGCAGTAGAATATGGAGACAGATGAATATAATTAAAGACAGATGCGGGACATCAGAACAGAAAGTGAGCCCGGCTAGGACAACAACACACTACTCTGACTAAAGACTCTGCTAAACTCCTAGTGGTGCTAAGCTTCTTATTATCCAAGAACGCCATCTAGCGGTCACATAACCTAACAGCATGTTACTTACTACCCCACTACATCATGCCCGTAGCCGGGGGACATCCCTAATCCTAACCTAACATGAACCCAATTTGTACCTTACTTACTATTAATAAACAGCTAGTTGGTTTATTAAGCTAGTAGTGTTAGTTTCAGTGTTTTTTAATACTGTGAATTGTGACCTAAACTAAAATGTTGCCAAATATAAACTGGTAAAAAGTATATTATTCATTCATTCATTCATTTTCTTGTCGGCTTAGTCCCTTTATTAATCCGGGATCGCCACAGCGGAGTGAACCGCCAACTTATCCAGCAAGGTTTTACACAGCGGATGCCCTTCCAGCCGCAACCCATCTCTGGGAAAGAATTCATTATTATTGTATTATTATTTTTATTATTATTATTATTATTTTTATTATTATTATGTTTAATTTTTTTTTATTGAAATGGCCAAATTGTGACAGAAAAGTTAAATGTGCTGGCCAGTTTGTTTTTGTCTAATAAATGACAGTAGGCTGCAGTTTTTTTTTACTTTAAAACTTTAACAGATTGCTATTTTTTTCTAATGATATATGATGTAATAAATTTGTATTTTAATAATTAGTCTTGTTTTATTTTTTCTTTATAGCAAGTTTTTATGAAATATTTTTTGTACATCAAAAAGTGTGGTTATGATGACATCTGACTAGCTAATCCAGCAACAACAACAAAAAAAAAATCACTAAAATGCAGTATTTAAATCTTATAGTTAAATAGAAACTGAGGCGTATAACTGCAAAAAAAAGAAAAAAAGAACCACCCCTTTCACCAGGCAAGAAATGGATGAATGAATGAATGAATGAATGAATGAATGAACGAACGAACGAACGAACGAACGAACGAACGAACGAATGAATGAATGAATGAATGAATGAATGAATGAATGAATGAATGAATGAATGAATGAATGAATGAATGGACAGATAGGCCGATAACGAATAGACTAATAGGTAGACGCATTAAAGTTACTAGTGGAATATATTATCTTGACTTGTAAGACAAAAACTTAAGTAAGAGAGAAACTTATTTATTTCATCGAAGGTTTGTTCTAACAGGTACCATCGACGTTTGTTTTGAAAATTACGTAATATATAATTCATTTCTGAAGTAACTCCAACATCACGACAATATTTATCTTTCTTTATTAACCAAAATTACTATCTGGCACTTAAATCAATACAATTGTTTATTCAAAAGTAATAAATCATTTTCATGCAGCACCCCTCTGTAAAAAAATATGGTATCTTCTGCTTCTTAAGATCGTGAGCTGGAAAAGACGCCATTTTGGATCTTGAGTATGGCGTGTTTGCGCCCGCGACTTTGTGTCTACAATGAGCCAAAATGTCCGATTAGACTCCTCAGTTTCCTAGCATGTAGACGACACAAAACGTCGCCGTGCGCGAGCTCGTGTCTGTTTCCTGTACACTAGTGAAGCAGCATGGCTTCATCTGCCAAAAGGCGTGCTGTTGAAACTGGACAAAATCCACAAGACAGCGACGAAAGCTCGGACGAGGGTCTGGAAGACTCTGGCGACGACGACAGCGAAAATTCAGAAGAAGAAGTAAACGAGGTAAGTTCCTATCCGAACTGTTTTTGCGAGCAGAAATGTCGTGATGTGCAGGCCATGCTGGCTCTGTCTGAAAAACACGTTGTTTTATGACCAACACACGTGTTTTGGTCTGCATTTAGGAGGTTATTGTGGACTTCGAAGCACACACGATCTCTGACAACGACTTTCACGGCATCAAAACCCTTCTTCAACAGGTAACGTCGGTTTATTGCAGATTATGTGGTGATTATATGAGTGTTAATTTATGAATGCAGACATAAATGTGTGTTGTTGTTTTGCAGCTGTTTCTGAAGTGTCACGTGAACACTTCTGACCTCACTGACATCATCATCCAGCAGAACCACATCGGCAGTGTCATCAGGGTAATACACTTTCATTTACCCCCCAAAATAGCTTAAATTTTACTGGTCATAACTGTGTATTTCATTCAGTTTAGATTTATTTTATGTCCATGTAGCGT